ACCCTAATTGTCATCAGTGAGGCTATACCCAGCCAAACATTAGGCTGAGCTCTGGGAATCCTACTGAAGAGAGAGAAGAAGGATTGTAGGAGCCAGAGTAGTCTAGGACATCACAAGAAAACCCACAGGGGGGCTGGAGAGATGGCTCAGAGATTAAGAGCATTGGTTGCTTTTCCAGAGGTCCTGAGTTCAATACTCAGTCACCACATGGTGGCTCACAACCGTCTATAATGAGATCTTGTGCCCTCTTCTGGTGCTTAGGCATACATGCAGGCAGAACATTATATAGGTAATAAATTAAGTAAATCTTAAAAAAAAATGTTTAATAATAATTAAAAACAAGAAAACCCACAGAGTCAACTAACCTGGGCTCATATGAGCTCAGAGTCTGAACCTACAGCTAGGGAGCATGCATAGAACTGACCTAGGTCCTTTACATACATGTTCCAGTTGTATAGCTTGGTCTGCTTGTGTGGGTACTAACAGTGGGGGCAGGGGCGGTCCCTGACACTTTGGCTGGCTTTAGGACCGTATTCCTCAGTTTGCTATGTATTCATCAGTCTGCCTTATTGCCTAAATAACTTGGATTAGGTGGACTTATATGGAATAACTAATGACTGCAAATGTAAGAAAAGTTTCTCACTAAGCATTATGACTGGAAAAGTAACCTGGTTATTTCTTTCTACAAGATTAACTTGACTTTTAAAGGAACCTCCTATAGCTTCACTGGACTCATTTAGTAACATTATAACATGTCATAATGATAAATACATGCTTTTTCTTTTGCTACTTAAAACACCACAATGAAGAAAGGGCCTGATCGTCTTCTCTAATATTAGAATTGTATCTGCAGATTCTATCATGGAAGCCCAATCTAATTGTCTAAGAATGTAGGGCATAGTGGAAGGACTACAGCTTTCTTTTGTAGCACATGTTTTGAACTTTTGCTAAATGAAACTTTGTGTAGGGTAATCCAGTATATAGTCTATGTCCTAGAATTACGGCCTACTGTTTGTTAACAAGATGATAGTGGCATATCATTACTGTAGTATTCCAACAAAATTAAATACAACTGACCATTTTTTGTTTTTGTTTTTTATGAGCTTGACATACTGCCTAATGCACTAGAGAGGCAGTCTTGATCCACTGTTTAATTTAAATGGCATATTATACTCATTTCTAACTGGCAAACCAATACTAGTAGATATGGCAATAATTATTTTCTTTTTCCTACTTGTTCGTTCTGAATTTGAGAGATACAATGAAATTTCAGGTCCTAGAAATGACCAGTCCCCCCAGTTGTGACATTAGAATAGACAGGGTGTTGAGGTTATTATACTGTTTTTATTAAGCAAAGAAAAACTAAGACTTTATACTATCTGGAGTTTGTAAACAGATACCATTGCTTTTTACTAGGGTTTTCTTATGCTTGTAATTTTAAAGATGTGAAACCCATAGATTATAGATTATAGTAGGTGGTATTTAGCAGGCAGAGGTTAAGCTTTGGGTTTGCTAAGCCCTGAGCTCATGTTACAAATATACTACTTCTTACCTGAATTAATTAGACAGGGTACATAAAGCTTAAATGAAAAAGTGAATATAAAATGCCAAGCTCAATGCAGGTAGTTTTCTTTCCCCTTAATATGAATTCAGCTAATATTTCTCAAATTTTGCTTTGCTAAACCTTTCACTCAATATCTCCTCTCAAAAATGTGCTCATTAGTCACATAGTGTGAAATACTACATAGTGCTATATTCTCTCTTGGAAAGCTCCAGCATTCATTGTAATAGTTCATGATGTTGACAAGCCATGACACTAGAAAACCATTTCTAGTGTCAGAAGTTAACAAACTTTTTAAAACCTAGTGTTTTCCATTATTATTTTGTCATTATACCCCCCCCAACTATTAACATGGATTCATTTTGGAGAAGGGGAATTTAGGCTTAGAGGCAAGCTCTATCTCAATATACAGCTACTGTTATCTTGAGGACTAACTAATTCTTTCTAGTCTAAAAGTTACAAATTTGTGTGTTGGCATGTACAGGATTAGCATTTGGGAGAACTGAGTTTGAACATTAGTTCTATCATTAGAAACTGTCCTGCCTTGACTGGTAGCAAGTCTCATTAGGCTCACTTACAACATGAAACACTTGGTACCCCCCCCTCTCTCTGTCTCTCTGTCTCTCTGTCTCTCTGTCTCTCTGTCCACACACACACACACACACACATACATACATACACACACACACTGATGGAAATCCAAGAGAAGATATTTCTGAAAACAAACTTGGAAATATAAAATGCTGGCAAAGGAAAATGCTATTAATATTGCCCTAGGAAAAATAATTGTAAGATATTGGGACATAGAAAAGTATTAGTATTATTAGAACTTAGTTCGGTCTGTTCTCTTTCTCACTGAGCAATCCTATACCCTATTCCTACTTGTCTGAATGTATTTTCAAGTATGGGTTTCTTAAGGAAAATGATTCCCAGCTGAATGTGCTTGAATGTCAGTAGCTCTGTCTTTTGTAAGTGTTTTGGGACTTGTTTATATAAGCTGTTTCACAATACAGTATGTAATATAGCATCTTGTATCTGCCCCTGCTGCTGAATAGTTAGTAAAGAATTATAATTATGATGCCAAAAAAAGAAAGAGGGCTTTGTTTTAGACCCTAACTAAAATATTTAATGCTCGTCCTCTCTACTTGTCATTTGTTTTCTGTTGGATAAAATTAGGCAAAGTGATATAAACACTATGGAAAGTGTAAGAAATATTTAAAATTACTGTGTCAGTAGTGTTTGCTTATTTATTGATTTGTGTTAATTGATACAATTGATGAGATCATTTCTTCATTGTATCTGGAAAAACTTAGGTAGCATTTGGAGTAGGTTATATAAAACTATAGAAAAATAAAACCACATTTTGTACAGTTTTAAGAACAGGATTGTCTTAAAGTAAAAGAAAAAAGCCTCATAATTTTTTTTTCTCTAAAGACTTTAGGATACTTAATTATCATTGGACATTAGAGGGCTTTAGAGTCTAGTTTTATGTTTCCTGGTTTTATATCTTGAATACTTATTTTCTTTTTTCCCAGAGACTCTCTGTTTCATGTTCAGAAACTGACCCTGACAGCAGAAATGTGCTTCTTTTTAGTCAAATGCTTCTTTTCCTTGATGTGCAGAGGCAGTGATGGCACAAAGTTGGCAGACAATGCGCCATACCATTTTTTCCCCTTAGATTTCTCTCATTTTCACTTTGTCTTCACATCCTGTTTCTGAGGTTTACAAATCAAAACTAGTAACCTAGTTTTATTTCCCCCTGTAAAATCAGTTTTAAACATAATGGAAAATCATTTTATAGATTGGATTTAAATGTCACAGTTCTAAAGCCATATCTTTAAAGATAAAACATTTTATTACTTTAATTTCTATCATCTATATTGTAATTTGTTCCACAGATTATTTTGGAATGTCATATTGATTTTTTTTTTCTTGATAGTGATACTGGATGTCTTTGTTTAAGGGGTGTCATATTTAAAGCCATTGAGATATCAGAGTGAGTTTAGTCAGCATCTTTTGTTTTCATAGTGAGTTTACTAATAATTGTCTCGCCATCTTTTGTCAGAAGGGCCACAGTAATGAAAACCATGTTTCACCTTTATATACATAATTGGATGAGATCACCAGATGTTTATGTTAGCAACAAATCAACAGGAAAAGTAGAAAATGGGCGCTTCATGGAAAAATACTAGGGACAATTAGCTCTGTCAAACACCATATGACCAAGTGCAGGGGAAAAAAATAGGTTTAGACCAGGAACTGACCTCAAGTCACTTAATAGTGGAAAGAAACACCAGAATGGCTCTTCTTACAGTTTTCTTAGGCCTTTCATAATTAGGTGAAATACCTTGGAAATTGACACATTGTGGTCGGTATTCAAAAACAGATTATTTCTGTTTTTCCTACATTTTATGGTGATAATTTTCAAGTGTACAGAAAACTTGAAAAAAAAAAACCCACCGTATTGTGATCACCTATGATTTAACTGCATAGGTTTATAGTTGCCATTTGGATGTAGTTTCTATATATCATGTAACCATCCACAGTCATTGTGGATCCATGAATCTTTTAGTCTTACTGATTTGTACACATCAGTAATTTCTGTCACTCAGGGCATTAGCATAGATATTACTAGTAAACACATAATAGTGTCTCTTCTCAAAGATAAATTGTCTATATTGTGAAATGTACAGATTTTTATACCATTTAAATATTTTCTTAAATATTATATGCATTTATTTAATCAAAAACTTATCACTCCCTTTCTGCGGCAACAGCTCTCTTTTTTTTTTTTTAGTCATAGATTAATTTAGCTTGTTCTTGACTGTCCCACTAATGGAATTATGCAGTATATACTCTTTGTGGCTTAGGCTTGCATTCAGAGTCAAAGCTTTAAGACTGATCTATGTCCTTGTTTGTGTCACTATTTTATCTTTTTACATTGCTAAAAAGTGTAAATCTTGTGGATACAGCATAGCTTGTTTACACATTTTCATGTTGAAGATATCACTTTGGGTCTTTAATGTGATGAAAAGATTTTTTTTTTATAAAAATATGCTGTTCTCCTGTGTGATCACTTTGGAATACAATTGCTGGATCATTGAGTAATTGTATCTTTTTTATGAAGCTGCAATTTATTTTTGAAAGTTTATCAACTTACACATACCGTCCCGTCAATGCCCAGCGTTGTGACTCTTTAGCTATTCTGGTGGATCAATATCGGAACTGAGGATTTGAAACTGAATTTCCCACTGATCACTGAAGAAAACTCTGTTGAAGACAAAGAATTTTTAAACTGGTATAGCAGGAAAAGTTGCCTTTGAGATCTGAGAATAGCCATTTGCTTACACTTATTATTTTCTCTTATTTCAACAGCCCAATTATTGTGCTTTGGAACACTTAGGACAGTAATATTGGAAAATGGTATGAGTTTAAACGTCAGGCATGGCTTAGGTTATAAAGATCAGTGACATGATTTTCATGTTCTTTGTATTTCATTGTTTCAGACGAAGCTACTATGGAGGAAACTGGGCCAGTTTCAGCTTTTCAGGACTGTTGTCCTGGCTAAAGGAATACCAGGTAAAATTCTTGTCTGATATTGCAAGTCACTAGGTTGCTCCTTGTGTCCACTTATTGAGGAGATGTTTTCTTTTTTTGTCATGTGAGATAGATACCTTGTTTTCATTCTCTTACTTGGCAGAAACACACACAATTACCTTTTTAGCTAATGATATATATATAACATTATATATACACATATATTCATATATATGATTTTCCTTTGAAGCATTTACAGAAATTTTAGTAGACATTGGGAAATCTCACCTATTATTAGTTGTTCTTTGTATTACTATATAAGAAGAAAAACAATGTACTATCAGTTATTTGAAGAAAGAAATTTAATTTGGAATATTCTCTGGCTTGTATGTTTATTTCTGTCATGTGCCAGAGGCAGTTAAAGGAAAAAGAAAGAAAAATATTGAAGTTCAGAAATTGTTTTTCCTATGGTAGCTTCTTGTTACTACAACTGTTGAATACCAATCATAAAGAAGAGTTTTAGAGATAAGTGGCTATGTGGTGTGGAGATTTAGTCACACTATATAGTTTACCATTTTTTATAAGACACATTTTGTATAGTTATGGGTATATGTGACTTGAATATAACTTATGCAGAGAATATCTTACATGCACTCAGACCATACTGTTTCTCAAATTAGTTGAGAAGGTTGGGAACATAGAATGATAATATTCTAGGAATCTATATTCAGCTAGTTAAAAATTAATGCATACTTATAAAATTCCATTACTCTACTGAGCATGGTACTTGCTTTCATTGATTTAATGGAGTATATCAGCAGTAGCTCTCCTGAGGACAAAAACATGGGTGATAAAGCCACAGTGATATTATAGTTTAAATATCATTGCATAAAAATGAGTGTGTCCCACTGGACAACATGCAGAGACTGAGAGACTTTGAAATGCTTATCCCTAAATGGAATGCCTATATATCACATCATATCCCATCCATCAAAACCCAGGGATCTATACAGACGATGGAACAGAGGAGTATAAGAGCCAGAGGTGGTGGATGACTTGAAGGAAGCAGCATTTTCCTAACACAACGGGACCTCATAGACCTGTATACCAAAGCTAGCTTTTGGTAGATTTTATGTAGTTTTCCTCTGCCTTCTTTGAAGCTGGTACTCCATTAGAGTCAATTCAGTGACTCTGAAGCACTGACTTTTGTTGTGATAAAAATAAATACAGGAATTTAAGATGAGATACAATTTTTTTTTTAAGCTCAGATCTTTCAATTTAGTGAAAATACCTTATTCTGTGTTTTGTTTAGGAAAACAGTGATGTTGTGACTGAAAATTCATCATGGCAAGAACAAATACTTGAAAATGAGGAAGCTATTCTTCTTAGTAGCAAGGACAAAACAATTCAACATGTAGAAGTATTTTGTTATGCCAGGTATGAAAATTATTTACATAGCATTAAGTAAGAATAGCTCTTTGCTTCTTCACACTTCTTCAGGAAAATTGGTTAACAAGGATATTGCTGTAGTTAAATCGATACATTGGCTTTCCCATTTTTTTAGGTGTATCTTTTACTGTTCTCTAGTTTTGAAATAAGAACATCTAATAATGCCGTACATTTCATGTTATCTTTTTAAAAATCCCATTTTACAGTGGGGCTGTGCTGGTTAGTTTGTCAACTTCACACAAGCTCTGGCCCTCTGGGGAGGGGCAATTTCAACTGAGAAAATGCCACTAGGCCTGTATAAGCAAGCCTGCAGGGGCATTCTGCTGATTAATGATTGATATAAGAGGGACCAGCTCACTGGGACCAGTGCCACCCTTGGGCATTTGGTCCTGGATGGTATAAGGAAGCAGGCTGACAGCTCAGATGATGGCCCAGATGTTAAAAGCACTTGCTGCTCTTGCAAAGGGCCCAGGTTTTATTTCTAACAACATGGTGGCTCACAACAATCTATAACTACTTCAAGGAGCTCAGGTGCCCTCTTCTTACTTCCTTGTACACCAGGCATGCACGTGGTATACATGCATACATGCAGGCAAAATACTCATATGCATAAAATAAAATAAATAGCCTTTTAAGAAAAAACACAGAATGTAGTCAAAAGGCATTGTTTTTACACTGCTATATATAATTTTCTCCTAGCCACTATGGAAGTCAGTATGGATGCTTCTCAAATAAACTAGCAATAGATCTTCCATTTTTTTTTTGAGACAGGGCTTCTCTGTGGCTTTGGAGGCTGTCCTGGAACTAGCTCTTGTAGACCAGGCTGGTCTCTAACTCACAGAGATCTGCCTGCCTCTGTCTCTGCCTCCCGAGTGCTGTGACTAAAGGTGTGCGCCATTACTACCCGGCTTAGATCTTCCATTTTTGAGTTAGGTTTGTTTTCTTGGCGTTCAATTGAATTTGTTGTGGATACTGGTCACTAATACTCTTGTCAGAAATATAGTTGGCAAAAGCTTTCTTCTACTTCATTTGACTGACAGTTTCCTTTGCTGTACACAGGCTGTTTAGCTTTGCACATTCCCATTACCCATTATGAGGGGCTGTTGTCTCCTACCCTATTGGTCCATGAGGTGGAAAGGTTGGAACCTTTTTTAGTGTTTGTCACTGTATCTTTTTATGCTGCTCTGCTCATGCTTCATCCTCCCAGAGTGATGTGATTACAAATGTATGAGGATTATTTTGTCAGAGTTTTATACTGAGTGCTGCTGCCCCTTTGAACATACTAAGCTTTTGCTATTCAAAGGTGCTTTCCTTTAAGTTATCTTTTGCAGTTAAATGACTGATTAATGAAAGGGAAGGAAAAGTACCTGCATTTGTTGGTTATTATATTTGTAGCTGTTTTATTCTTTTCCAAAGCCATGTGCATGATTTGTTACAAGTGGATAAACGGAAGTTCAGTGAGAGGTAGTTCTCATAGAACTGGGATTCCAAATCACAGTTTTCTAAGTCAGAAGCCTACGGTGTTTCCATTGTACCTCTTTTTGATTTTTTTTTTTTGTGAGAGAGGATTTTGCTAGACTGCCTAGCCTTGATCTTTGAACTCACGAGGACATAAGGTATTCCAGTGTCCTTGATTTGTTGTGAGTGTAGGCTCAGAAATATTTCTTAGTTTATATGGGAGAAGTAAAGTAACCATATTTCTAGCTTTAATTCTTACACAGATTAGGAGAAAGCACACAGCATTAATTTTTTCTTACAAAGGAAAACATTTAATTGGGGGCTTACAGATCAGAGGATTTGTCCATTATAATTATGGTGTGACATGGTGGCATGCGGGCTGACATGGTGCTGGAGAAGGAGATTTCCCCATCTGTAGCTGCCTCTCTGATGTTTCCAGCAACATATTTTTTTTATTTATACACAGCTGTATATGTCTGTATGTGAGTTATGTGCACATGAATGCAAGTACCAGTGGAGGCGAGAGGCATCAGCTCCCCTAGAAATGGAATTACACTCAGTTGTGAGCCACATGATATGGGTGCTTGGAACTGAACTTGGGTCCTCCGGAAGTACAGCAAGTGCTGACTTCTGAGCCCTCCAGCTCTCCACCGACACATTTCAAACTTGCCTTGGCTTATGACTGTTTTTCTTCTGCTACTATTAAACTTCACAAAACTGCTTCCTCATTGGAACATGGAACACATGGGTATGTGCATGTGAGTGCTGGTGTCCCCAGAGACCAGAGATGTCAGATCCTGGAGCTAGAGTGTCAAGAGTATCCTGATCATGGTTGCTAGGAGAGGAACCTGGGTCCTCTATAAGAGCAGACTTTCCTCTTAACTACTGAACCATTTCTTCAGTCCCTTCACCTTTCTTTTTCTTAATTAATTTTTTCCCATTTTACATGCCAACCCCGGTTCCCACTCCTTCCCCTTCTACTGGCCTCCCTACCTCCTCCCCTTCACTACCCCTCATCAACTCTTCAGAGGGGATAAGGCCTCCCATGGGGAGTCAACAAAAGTCTGGCATACCAAGCCCAGGCAGGACCAAGCCCCTCCCCCTGTATCAAGGCTGAGCAAGGTATCCCACCATAGGGTATGGACTCCAAAAAGCTAGTTCATGCACCCAGGAAAAGTCCTGGTCTCACTGCAAAGCCCCTGCCCTGCTACAGAAAGCCTCATAACTATCACTCACACGCAGCATTAATTATTCCCACTTGGTCACACAAATGCAAATAATTCTTAGACAAAAAAATTTGCATGCTAATTTCATATTCTTGTTTTTTCTTTAGCAAGAAAGTAATTTTTAAATTAATTTTGTCTGTGTATGTCTGTTTTTGTAAGTGTATGCACACATGCATGTGTGTGTGTGGAAATCAGAGAAAAACTTGCTGGAGTCACTTCTCCTTTCTGCCATGTGGTTCCTGGAATCAAGCTCAAGTTGTCAGAATTGGTGGTAAATAACTTTACTCACTGAGCCTAGGAAAAAGACATTTTATTGTTCTAAATTATGCCAAGAACATACTTGTTTTTCTATATTTTTGAATATTAATGAATAATATTTCCCCATTGTTGATATAAGGTTAAACAAGAATGAAAATATGCTTCTTCAATTAAAATGGACCAACTTTTTAGTGGATTAATACGATATCAAAAATGAAGATTTTATTGTGATAGAAATCTGAAATCTGACTTCTTCATTTGGAACTCCAAAACATAAACAGTAAACTTCTTGAACAGTATTAGCTGTGGCATTAGTCCAATATTTGAGTATAGAGGTAGTTGTTTATTATTGTGTACAGCAAGTTTGTTTCAGGCTGTGAAAGAATGCAAATGAATAGGTGTTGGAACAAGTAGACAGACAGTAGTGTATCAAGTAGGTTGACAGGATTTGTGGCTTTTTTTGGT